GTTCGGTCGCGTGCCGTCCGGGCGCGTCCGTCCGGTCATCGCGCGTCGTCCGTCCGTCCGTCCGTCACACGTTGGGCACAAATCTACCCCATTCCCATTTCGTCTACGATCGGTTTGTTCACTAAATAATCATTTATACAATAATAAAATATGGTTTTGATTGGCATACATAGACTACAGGAACCAGAAGAAAAACATAGGCACAAATAGAAGAACACAATTACAAATAAGAGTACAAAATAAGGACGAGAATGGGAATATTTCCGATTCTGTGAGTAGACGAAATGGGAGTACGCCTACTGGGATGTGACCTTAATTTAAACGCAGTGGCTCTTTGTACCGATTGGCCAAAATAATTCTGGAACTACTACTACAACTAGTAACTACTACTACTGTAAGATTTGTTGACGCCAAACTCGCAGGTAGAGAACGACTCGGCTCTCAATCCGAGAGTAGCTTTATAATACTGTGTCGGGTTATCATTCGATCGTTCTATCGACGCAACCTGACGCCTTCTTCTTCTTCGTCGTCGTCGCCTTGAATCATGAAACGCGGATGAACAGATGTAGCTGAACTACTAGCACTGATGTACCACCTGAAAAAGCTATCAGAACATGAATACATTCAACAATAATGACCATGTATTAACCACTAGCTGCACACGTTGTAATTTGCTAACTGCAGAAAACAATATGAGGAGAGCTCTCAACTGTTATATAAACAGAGAGCATCAGCTCAGAAAGTAGGCTGCGGTAGATGTCTTGTGGCAGCAATCGTGGCTTTCATGTGTAGTAATCTGGAACGCGTGTTATAAAATAATCTCGAGATTCACATGTACTACTCACCACGTAATGCCACTAAACCTAAACCCAGGAGGCAGTCAGTTTCCAAACTGCTTGCCCAGTGTAATCTTATAGGCCTGCTTGTACAACGTTAAGTTTTATTAAATAAATATGGCTTAAGACAAACGACAATCGATTACATATAATGAGGGACGTAAATAAAAAAGAAACAAGTCTGACCATGAGTTTAACATCATATTATAGAGATTTCCCAACTGTTTTTACTGACTTTTTTAGCTCATCTCACCTAGTCAGATGAGCTTGTAGAATCGCATGCATCGTTCGTTCCGTTCGGTCCGGTCGTGTCGGTCTCGGTCGTCCGTTCCGTCAACAGTTGGGCACAAATCTAATCCCGCTCAGTACGGTCACGATATTTGGGTCGTTGGGGGATCCTGTCAAAACAGTTGGGGATGTCGAAGCTGGGCTCGGGTCAAAGGATCACAAGGTCAAGAGCGTAGTAAATAGAAGGGGGAAACATTCACTCCTTTACACTTAAGGTATATATTAGGGAGGAAATGCAGAATTGCGCAACAAATCTAAACGGCTCTCGACCTAGGTCGTGATAGTCGGTGTTATAGCATCATGGCTAGGGAAAAGCCATACACTGTGCCGAAATTGGAGGTCACAGGTCAAAGGTGAATGCGGCCACAGCGGCCCAGATTTTCTAGACTTTTCTGAGGACATGGTCTGGACGGCTGGGAGCGATTGAAAAAACTTTGTTTCAGCGGTGACCTCAGCATTTTTATGGCTTATATTTGAAAAGGACATGACAATGTCCCCTTCTGCTGACCATGCGAAGACGTAAGTTGTCGGATAACCACCTTTTGACCCTCAATGAGGAGGGTTAAACATGGTCATTTGTGACTGTTTAACAGAGGAGCTGAACTGCTTTTGCTGATTAGAGCCCCTCCCCCCACCCTTCCCCCTTCCCCTCCGCCCCACGCCCCCTCCCCCGAACCTTTCCCCACCCTCCCCCACCCCTCCCCCATCTCCGATCTGCCCGATAGTGGGCGCTGTCCCTAAACAAATGATGTGTACGCACTGCGTGTCTGCATATCTGCGCCTAACAAATCGTCCAGGTTACTCACGCACAACGTGAAATTTTACGTTTATTAATCGTTGCAACCGACCTCAGATTGGCCATACGCTCTGCGGCTTCTTGTTTCCGTTAAATTTTGGCACCAATAAAGACGAACGTATATCACCCCCACGTTCTTGAGCTTATTTGCGACCACTAATTATGTCACTACCTTCAATTGCACTGAAATTAGTTTACCAGAATCTTTGCTGGGTCGAATTTGCCTGTAAATTGTCATATTGCAGATCCTTTTGTGATCCCAATCTGTTTAGATAATTCTAATAGAGCGCAGGCAGGTTCCAGGGCGCCTAGCTGTGCCGCACGATGCGAAGGTCTACACTGGTCAGAGCTACTTCTGACTTACCCTTATAAACGCGTACATTGACTGCCCTCACGCCAACCCGCAAACCCAGTAATGTGTGTTAAACCCGCACCCTCAGATTAGCAACAAAGCGGAGTTATACGTCTGCGTGCGGACACTTCGACTATCACTGTTATACACACAACACCTACCTACCCGGACCAGGCTGTGTGGACTAACGTTAATACACCCTATAGGGTATTGGCTAGGTATTGCTTAGGGTAATTGCCTAGGGGGTATTCGGCAACCCTAGCAATTACCGTTTCTTTGGAGCTACCTACCTAGCAAGTACAGCAGACAGCAGACATCAGTTGATCCAAGACATACTGAAAGGGCAAGATTTTTTAGACACTAACTTAACAACTTACACGTATGCGCGGGGTGCGATGTTTGTGTAGCAGGATGTAATGAGTTTGTTTTTCTTTTTCTTTTTTGTTGTATTCACTAAGTAATAGTTGTCATTGCTTAACGATCTATGGCCTACTGACTGCGCTGTGAGTGCCCGTAACAAACAAGCAACTGCGGCGGTGTCTACTAACGAAAGTGGGTAAGAATAAGTCCCAGAAATAACTACTGCAATAATTTAAACTTTGCGCTTTGCCATTGCTAGCCTATCTAGTTCATTATCTCTAGATTTTGTATCGTGTTGAGGTGACTTTGTATTTCCATCATTCCCCATCCATTATCAGCTATTTCAGTGTCCGTGTCAGTGCTTTTAATATATACCTCCATCTGAGCACCAAACTTCTCTTCTTTTATTTATTTGAAATTTCTTTCTCTTCGTCTCCTCATCCCTTTCTTCTTTACATTTTAAACTATTCTTTTCATTCCCAGTGTAACTCCTTTCTCATCAATCTTCTTTCTTCTCTTCTCCAATTAACACCCCTTTCCTTCAACATATCTTCTCTTAATCTTTCTATTTTAATTTTACAAAAAACTCTCTAAATTCCCTCAAATCCGCCATCCTCACGTTAAAACACCATCTTTTTCCCTTTCTCATTTCTTCTGTTTTCCCCTTTCTATTCCCCATTCATCTTCTTTCCTCCCATCTTATATTATCTATTTCTTGATGAGTGCCTTATAATTGACATCTATTCTTCCTTCCCATTTATTATACAACATTTAACAACTTTATTTTGATTTTTCAAATCTCTATAACAATATTTCTCCAAAATATATAAATCTTTCTATAATACTATCTTCTTAACATAAAAACAATATTATTCAATTATTTAAATATTCACTTTCCATACTTTTTACTATTTCACTTTTATTTTTTTCAATACTTTCTCTTTCACACTTTTCTATTCGTATATTTACCTTTTATCTTCTTTTTTTTATTTTTATAATCCTCTTGTATTTATTATTTTATTAAGTTACGTCACATTTTTAACATTTTAAATATATATAATAATTTCTTTTATACTCAACTTTAATTCATTTTATTTAAAAAAATACAACAACATAACTTTTATTATTTATCTTTATTTTGCGAGTTGAAGCGTGCGAGTATCTTTCATTATTTCTTCATAATTACATACAAAATCTTTTTCAAAATCAAATGTATATATCATTCCCCTACTTGTATTAATTACATTTTATTTTTTAAAACAATTATTGTTTTAATTTATTTTAATTAATATTATTATTATTATTTTCTTTTAAAATTTTAATTGTAACATCATCATTCATTGATTCCTACTCATTACTCATTTAATTCATTATAGTTCTATACCAATTACTTTTATTCTTTACTTTACATTATGTTCGTTTATTCATAATATCTTCAATTTTTTATGCTCATCTTACATATTCATATTTCCATCTTATATAATGCTCATTTATCGTTCCTTCCTTGCCGTCTTCTCCTTCTTCCTTCGTCAACATTTTCACAAATCTAATCCTCTCTTACTTACTCACTATATTCGTTCCATCATTGTTTCTTATCTTCAAAACTATTTATTCAATTCTATTTCAAATTCAATATTTTAAAATAAATTGTCAACATTCACTCTTACTTATTATATATTAAAATTCAGTATTGCTCACAAATCTAAACTCTCTACTATCCTCTTGTATATTTGTTTTTATATTCTCATTTTATTTTAAAAAATCCCTCACTCCTAAAATTTATCTTCACATTTCAAATCAATGCACATTCATTATTTTATACATTTTCTTTTAATTTTCTTTACTCTATCCTATTAAAATTTTTTTTCTCTTACCTATCATTTTTATTCATTATTTAAATATCCATAAATTACTTTTCCCTTTACATTCTTAATTATTTAATTTCATTTATAACCTTTTTTACCCTCAAATATGATGTTTAAACATTTATTTTACTTTCTTTTATAAATTAATTTTTACTTCCTTCTTTTTGCTATTATTAATCTATACATTCCTTCTGTATTATTTACAATTTCACATTTAAATTTCAAAATCTAAATTCTTTTAAATAATTTATCTTCCTTAAATCTTATAATTTCTATCATTCCCCTTTTACTTTCATTATTTTACATTTTAACTTATTCCCTTTCATCTACTTCATATTTATTTACTTATTTTTTCCTTCCATTTAATTTCTTTTACATCACTCTTCTATTTCACTTTTTATTCTTCTAATGTTTTAAATTTGATTATTACTTTACCTATTCTTCTTTTTCAAATATTTTTTTCTTACTACTTACTTATTATCTTCATTCTTTAATCTTAATTACACTTAAACTTTTACTTCTCCATCTCTTTTCAACTTTCATAACTTATCAACTACCCATTCTTTTCATAATTTTTCCTTATACCATCCCTTTTCATTCCACTTTTCTCTTTATTTTAAACACATTTTACTAACATTCTCTTTTACTATTTATCCCACCACTTCCACCACATTCATTTCACCTCCCATTATTGACTTATGTAGTAGATTTATGCTGTTTTCTCTAGGTCTCGCTCTTCGTGTACGGACGGACGGACGGACGACCGGACGGACGGACGGACGATCATGCGATTCTACAAGCTGCATCTGACTAGGTCAGATGAGCTAAAAACCTTGAAATCTTGAATGACTAACGACTAATGTCAGTAATGACTACCGTAACGGTAATGTCTAGACTCTAATGACTAAATGAGTACTGAGTAGGCCTACGAATGACATGCCTGTTCAATTAACAATTTTCAAAAGAAACTTCACAATCTAATCTATTAATTAAATACTTACCAAACTCATTGTTTTCACACAAATCCAAAAATGAATTAATACAACCGTAGGGGGAATTCCTATATAATTTGATTTTGCAACCAGCTTTTGTATGTATTATGAAGACCTACTGCAAGATATGCGTTATGACAAATCAACTTATAATAAACGTTATTGTTGTTGTATCTTTTTTAAATACACTGAATTAAACCGTTGATATCATAGAAATTATTATATATATTTAAAATGTTCAAATGTGCAGTAATTAATAAAATAATCCTCCCGCTTATAAATAAAACACAAGACCATCAAGGTAAACTTCCTACAGTGTGCGAGAAATCTTGACAAAAAATAACAGCGCCATCGTACACAGTCATGGTAAACCGTGAACTTTAAATAATTGCTAATATTGTTTTTATTATTACCGATAGTATTATCGAACCAGCTTTCATATCTTTTGGGCGCATATTGTTATCGAGATTTGACATCAATCACGTTGTTCTTTGTCTAATAACTTGGGAAGGAAGGCATCGCCTGTCTTATTTGTGTTGCTAGGTGTTTCATTAGCGAATCACCAGTGTGTAAAAATACATAAAAATAAAACGTGCTGGCTACAGTAGTTAAAGGGTCTAGTTTTTACAGTATTTTAGTTACAGTAGTAGTACAGTATTTTGCGATTTACCTATACTTGGAAGTTGGAACAGCCCGCGTGCAGCTTGCTGTGTAGTCCGAGATTCCTCTGACCAATGCCCAGTACGTACCCTAACCCTAACCCACACGAAATCCACCAAAATCGGTCGGTGTGGTGTGGGCATTGGTCAGAGGAATCTCGGACTACTTGCTGTGTTGCAGCTGCGGCAACTGTACGCGGGCTAGTACCGGTATAGTACTAGAGCTTGTGCGTGTGATGTATTGTAATTTATGAGATGGCAAGCTGTAGCGATTATGGAATGTTGCCACACAATCACACATCATGTGCTGCTGGTAGATTTGTTGAGAGCTGTTATGTTGTACAGGAAAGACTGAGTAAAGCATACACGGTAAGTCAAATAACATCAGATTTATTATTGAAATACTCAGCAGACAGCCATGATGGAATTCAGTCCTAATATCAGAACGAGTCTAATACTAATAGTTCCAAAAGCTATGCTTAGATGGCGCTAGCTGTTATTAATATTACATCTTCCTTCGAGCCGAGTGTTCCTTTAAGTTTTACACTAACTGTGACATATTGAACTATAAATGATGAAACTTGAATCTAAGACTAAAATCTTAATCACGTATCAAACTAAACAAAGCCCATTTGCATTAGGTGATAGTGTCCCTTTAAACGGCGTGACCGGTCAGTCAGTCTCTCAAAAATTCTGATCACTATGTAGGCCTCGTAATTACAAATCTAATTTACTTGGCAGGTTTACATGTCTACCGGAGCGCGAAGAATAAGTTGCGGTAGTATCGCGGGCGGACAATTCTGCTGGAGTAGCGACTTCACGGGTGGGTGTCGTGGTCTTCGCTGCTGGGACTGTCCACACTCTCGGGTCGCGATGCTAGTTGACGACGGTTTCTCCTGATCTCCCCTGTAGGGGTCTCGACGATATATGACAGCGGTGTCTCGGCGACACGAACAACAGTTCCAGGTGTGTTCTCTCTACTCACATACGCCTCATCTCCTGGCCACAAGACGTCGCGTTCTACTGCACGATGGCGAGCATTGTAGTTCTGTTTCTGATGGTTCCTCTGATCTTGCTCCCTCGTGCGTAGCTTAGCAGAGTCGGGAAGCTGCGATTCCAGTTTCTCCGGTATGATCGGCACGGTTGTGCGTATCCTCCTGCCAAAGAGTAACTCAGCCGGTGAGTATCCATTCTCCAGCGGGGTAGCACGGTATGCAAGTAAGGCACGATACGGATCGTCATCAGCTTTCTCCAACATCTGTTTGACAGTCTGTACCGCCCTCTCTGCGGCCCCATTCGATTGGGGATAACGCGGACTGCTAGTAAAATGCGCAAAGTCATAGTGCTTCGCGAATTGCTGAAATTCTTGCGATGCATACTGCGGTCCGTTATCTGAGAATACGGTTTCGGCTATACCTTGAAGTGCGAATATGGACTTTATCGACTTGATTGTAGCTGCGGATGAGGTGGAGAAGAGCTTCGCCAGCTCAACATAGCGCGAATAGTAGGCAACAAGCACGAGGAACGATGATCCTTTCCATTGCTTCCGTTCCTCCTCCATAGCTTCAAGTCGGTCGTGATGAGTGGTTTCGCGCGATCTTTCTGCTTTCTGATGCATGCGTCACAGCTCTTAACAAGATCATTGATTTGACTGCTAGGTCCGGGCCACCAGATTGAGGTTTTAGCATGCTCACGACATTTTGATATGCCCAAATGACCCTCGTCGGTTCTCCGCAGAAGTTCGGCGCGCATTGTTTTGGGAATAACGAGTCTACTTCTTCTGAGGAGTAGTCCGTGTTGAACGCTTAGTTTACCTCTTACAAACCAATAGGGTTTCACGCGGCTGTCCAGTTTGATCCGTTCTGGCCACTTAGTACTGAGGTATCGTGTAATCAGCTGACATGCGGGGTCATTAGACTGACATTTACGAATTTGCTCGAGGCGTAATGCGGAAGCTGGAATCCCGTAACGTTGTATACAGCGTTGGCGTAAGCTGCTGTCTCATCCTGCAGTGCTTGGTCGTCCACTCTGGTTGCCGACTTCACAGGAGCTCGTGACAAGGTATCAGCTGTAGTCACGTTCTTGCCAGGTACGTGCGAAATGAGTACCAGTGTCTCATTAATCTGAGGCGGAAGCGCTGAACTCTAGGGGGTAAGTCCTCCAGTTTCTTGGTCCCCGGCAGAGGAACCAGTGGCTTATGATCCGTTTCAATATGGAAGTGAAGTCCAAGCAAATAGGTGTTGAAGCGTTCACATGCCCACGTTATGGCCAAAGCTTCCTTCTCTATTTGCGCGTATCGCTGTTCAGTGTCGGACATTGCTCTTGATGCAAACGCGACCGGTCTCCAGTGTCCATCAGTTTGTTTCTGAGCCAGGATTGCTCCCAGTCCGTACGATGATGCATCTGACGAAAGCAATGTTTCGGATCGTGGATCATACATTGCAAGTACTGGGGTAGAGCTCGGTATCGATTTCACTCTCTCGAAAGCTTGGTCTTGAGCGTCAGACCAAATCCACGCGTTATCTTTCGCGAGAAGATCTCTGAGAGGTTTGTTTGTCTCAGCCAGATCCAGTGTGAATTTAGAAAGCTGGTTCGCCATGCCAAGAAATCGTCTCAGTTCGCTAATGTTAGTGGGTCGTTCCATCTCCGCAATAGCGTTAACCTTGAGCGGGTCGGCGCTGATCCCGTTTTCACCAATGAGGTGACCGACGAATTTCACTGAGCGGACGGAGAAGACGCATTTCTCGACGTTTAGCCTTACACCTGCTTTTCCTAGTCTACATAAGGCAGCTAACGGTCTCCTGTCATGTTCGTCCTGGTTTCCCCCAAAGACGAGTATGTCGTCCATCTCACAGACGATACATACCATCTAATTCTTCTAGAATCTTCTGCATTCTCTTTTGAAAGTACTCAGGAGCGGAAGAAATACTAAAGGTAAGTTGTCTGACGGTAAATCGTCCGAATGGAGTCATGAAAGTTGTGAGTAACTGTGACTCCACATCAAGGTCGACTTGCCAGAAACCAGGGTTGGCGTCCAGTTTGGAGAAAACTTTCTCTCCTCGAGTCTTGCGTGTGATCAACTGACGGTAGTGGGTGGAGTTCACGGCGTACGGCCGGTTTGCGCAACGTAGGGAGTTACCTGGCTCTTGGGGATGTTGAATTTGGGGGTCAAGGGTCAAAGGTCAAGATGTGTCAATGGAGGGGGAATATTTC